GTTTAGTGTAAGGTACACCCCAAGAGAGAAGTTTAACTTATCCCCCTACGAAATCTTATTTGGGACAGCACCCAGGTTAGGCTGTTTTTTCCTCAGCAACTTCAACTTCAGTCAGATGCAACGGTAGATTATATAACTGCACTCTCTCATTCCTTGACCATAATCCATGCACGGGTGTTTTCCTCTATTCCAGATCCAGAGTCAAATACAGGCACGCATAAGTTACTTCCTGGTGACTGGGTCATGGTCAAGAAGTTTCTAAGAAAAAACACACTCTTGAGCCAAGGTTTGATGGTCCATTTCATGTCCTATTGACTACATCTACCTCTGTAAAGTTGGCCGGGAAGAATACCTGGATACACGCCTCGCACGGCAAGAAAGTTCCTGATCCAGAGGAAACAGATTCTACCAAATCATGAGCTTCCTGTACCTGTTTCTGCTGCTAGGCCTTTTAAAGGCCCAACAAGTTGCTATTACCAAAGACAATCATGTTTACACATTTTGGTATAATTCTTTAAACACACATGTAGCTACTTTTACCTTTGATTACTGTGATATTGTCTCTTGTACTTTCCCACAATCACAACACTCAGTAATATACAAAGACATACCAAATAAAAAGGACCCATATATTTGTGTAACAGGTGACCGTTGGGGACATCACTGTAGTACCTGGAAAGCGGCAGGTTGGAACACGGGCCGACCATGGGGCTACAGACCACAAAGTGCCTTAGATAGAGTTGACAAATATGGGAAACCCTTGTTATACAGAATGACCTTGTGCAAGCCAACGGGGTCTACACCAATGAAGCTGATCTTAAACATAGAACATCCCAGCCCAGGAGACGCTAGGGAATACATAATGGAAAGGAGGTGGCTCATGCAACAAGTTGGGGACCTTCTATTTACAAGACATGCCTGACTGGGTAGACTCCACACACATGACCATTAACCCTCTAAAACCACACATTAAAACTCTTAAAGACATGGTAGCCATTGCCAATCCCACATTTGAAGACACTACGGCTGTTGAGACCTGGTTTTCAGATACTAATCTATGGCTTGAATGTATGAGGTGTAATGCTAATTCACACAACAAAACTAACTGTTATGTTTGTGGTGGGGCCAGGCCCCATCTGGGTACAGTGCCTTTAAATCTACCCCCCGATGTTGAGACGTGTTTCTTAAGCCTCTATGCGCAAACAGCAGTAAACTCATCAGTGTGTGAGTCATGGAAAAAGGTTTACACAATAACCCAAGGGAATACCAAGCCACCTGATGGAATCACCGTGTATCCAGGTAACTACACTTGCTATACAATCCATGGAGCCACAGGTAACTTTGTAGGTAAATTCCCTTCTGGCTACTGTACCACTTATCGAGAACCTCCCACTGCCCTATTATTGAATCAAGTTACGTCCGTGGGAGACATTTATTGGCTATGTGGTGACATGCAACTTAGATCAAAAATGACTGGCCTGTGGTGGGGAGAATGTGCTCTAACCAAAGTTATCATGCCCATACATATAATTTCTGATAACCACCAAGGCCCACACGATTCACCACACACGTATCTTAGAGTAAAAAAGAGGAACCCGCATTCAAGGTATTTTCGACCCCCACATATATATCGATGCCATTGGAGTACCAAGGGGGGTACCAAATGAGTTCAAGGCCAGAGATGAGGTGGCGGCAGGATTTGAATCCTTGATCCCACTCATCACCGCTATCAAGAATGTTAATTGGATCAATTATATCTACTATAACCAGCAACGATTTGTCAATTACACTAGAGATGCCCTCCAGGGCTTGGCAGAACAATTACAGACTACCTCCCAAATGACATTCCAGAATCGCATGGCCTTAGACATGATCCTAGCAGAAAAGGGGGGCGTGTGCAAAATACTCCCTGATACTATGACATGCTGTACCTTCTTCCCAGACAATACAGGCACTAACAGTAAGGTAACCATGGCTATAGAGAAACTGGAAAGTCTTTCTGACGAATTAAAGAGGAATTCTGGAGTCCCCAATTTATGGGACAAATGGTTTGGATGGATGAGTGGATGGCAGAAAACTCTCCTTCAAGTAGATATGGCAGTTCTTACTGTGGTAATTCTCTTTCTAGTTTGCTGTGTGATGCCCTGTGTGCAGAAATATTTACAGAAGACCATAGGTCAGACTATTGATCGCACTACACCTACATTCCTACATCAGGATATCGATGATATGGACAGTAACACCCCAAACACACCTCTTCAGTCTCACCACCTCAAACAGACAACTACTTCCATATAGGGATAGCATTAGGGACAGCGTCTGTCTCTATGGGTAGGAGTCTGACGCAGGAGATGTAGTGGGTTAGCCGCTGCGGGATACCTGCGCTGTGAAGCGTTCGAGGCCTGTTCAGACAGATGAGCTGCAGCCAATTAGGGACATCATTAGGGCCAGTTAGTAGTTGTCTCTTTCTTTCTTTTTCTTAAATAGTCATTTTAAGGGGGGGACTGTTGTGGACAAAAATATGAACCCAATCCATGTTAGTAAAATACCTATTTACTCAACATAACTATAATCAGCATTATTCAACTTTCTATGTGATTTACCTAAAATGGCCTCTAGGGAGTTTCCCCTTTAACATTGACTAACACCCGCATTAACAAGATGGTGCTGGAATATGGAGGAGACCTCCAGGATACCAGTGGCAACACACCCGGTAAGAAGAGCACTAAATGAACCACTTAACACCTAACCAATTATTGATGAGTTGTGGGCGAAACGCGCGCGTCAGGGGCACTTGGGGACTTAGAGATTTTAAGACACTCATAATATTATAACATTTATCAAGAAGCAATACCTTCAATCTCGGTCCCTGAGCATTTATTCCGTTTATGCACTCTACAGCGATTTGGGCTATACTAATATCCTGAGCATTTTTCTCTTTATCTACGCTTAACACATATCACTAATAGCTCCTTTATCACTCCCACTGCTATTACGGTTGACTTTTCTTCACAGAGGCAGAAACTATCGAGCTTCCTCTATACTAACGTTCTGTAATTGACAAGTCTAATTTCAGTACTCTAGATACATTTGAGGCAAGCCGATATTTATTGTTACAGCTAGCTGTCTAAATATCATTACATTATTTCCTATCAATGATAAGTTTCTTTTTACACAGCTATAGATATACATTCTGATCTGTGTAGATTGCAAAACTCAGTTTTGCAAATTTCTTGTGGGAATGGTTTTGTGAAAGATTTAGAACAGAACCTCCCCATCAATTATTTGATATTTTGATTATTTATCTACTTTATTTTCAATTATTTTTTTCTTTGGAGTTTAGAGATATTGTATGTGGTTTTGATTAATATATTAACTCTAACCACATTCAATAATCTTAGATTATTAACTTGGATAATTATCCTCACACATTTTCTATTTTAATATTTTCTATTAAAAGTTATATTTTAGTAGTTAGGTCACTCTCAGCGTTTCTAAGCTTCCTTCAGTTCAGTAGTTTTTTGCAATTCTTGATGTATTATTCCATGTTATCTCTGACAATTCATATGATGTAATTTTGCTTTATAAGGGACATGCCGTCCCCCCAGAATAAACATTCAAGTTTTTCATTAACCCGAAACCTGTGTCTGGTGTGAATTACTTTAGGAGCGTGCACGCATTACTTCTTAATTTGGCCGGGGGCAGATACTCAAGATAATCAATTTATTGATTCCACATCAGTCTCTAAAACTGATTGTCATGATGTGCAAAGTTTCTGCCTCTAAAACTTCCATGATATCCCAGAATCATGTCTCTAAAACTGCCATGTTATGCCAATTGTATGCATCTAAAGTGGATTGCTATGGTGTGCCAATTTTATGCCTCTAACGCTGATTGCCATGGTGTTCACTTTTTAAAATATGCATTAAAACCAAGTGGGTCTCAAAAAAAAAAAAAAGTTTTGAAAAGTAGGTCTCAGCCCATAAAAGTTTGGGGAGTTGTACTAGATAATGCAAGCTCGTTTAAACAGAGCCCTCAGCACCCTCTGTTTCTGTGCTTCCAACTGGTCTTGTTGCAAATACGTGTCTGTTAGTCCAACTCTTGAAATGCGCTGCAGAATTTGGCACTTTAATATGGAGGACTGTTCTTGTCATATCAAAGATCTCAAATTTTGCATCTAGCTTCTGAGAAAAATATATATCTCATGGACTGAAAAGTCTTAACCATGGACTCAATTGAATTAGCGGATTTTATACACTTTGTTTCCATATTGGTCTGATACGTTAACAGGTAACACGATGTCACTTTTTACAGGAATTCTACAGATACTGCTCCAGAGTAGTCATCAGTGAATGCATTTGAAGCCTTCTCTAGCTTGTGGTTCTATGAGACCCAATAAGTCAGTGTGCATTAATTCTGCTGTGAATCTGGAATCAAACCTTTACTCTGAACACATTTCTTTAATGCATATTTTTAAATGTTAGCTTAGTCCTGTCAATTTTCCCCTAATTTTCTTGCCTTCAACAGCATTATGTAACCTTCCCAGCATTGTAACTGGGGAGGCATTATGGGAGGTGTAGTACACAACATCTGCAGTGAGCTATGGTTGCTTCCCTATCCATAGCATATTTAACATGAGAGGATCAGCATCAGTGTTGTGGATGATAAAGATAATCTCTAGCTACCATAGCAAAGAAGAATTAGGCTTATACAAAGCAATTTTATGTAAAGTATGACGTTTAGTAATACAGACCATTTTCTCCTCCAAGAAAAAACAAAGAAATTTTAAAAAAGTTTTATAATCCCTCTTGCTCTGACAACTGGGGGAGTTTTTTCTTCATCCGTGTTAAACATTGCCAAGTCAGTATTTTTAGGATCACATACTTCCCATTATCTTTTGACTATGGACTATGTTCCATTATCTTTGGAGGCATTTTTCTTACCCATATACTCCGTGACTGGGAAACTAAACCCAAACCAAACAGAAAGGGGGGAAATCCATTAAGGCCAGGCAGGAGTAATAAAGACAGGCAGCCTTGTCTACAGGTTAAAGGAATTTAATGGTTACATTCTGAATGCCAGCGAGAGAACATGTATGGCAGGAATATTTCAGTATCAGAGAGGACTTCGTATCCCATCCATCCCATGGTCAGTATGGTCTCCTTTCACAAGCCAAATACAGCAACTTCCACAGACGTTTTCAGCAATTCATTCCCAGCTTTGACCAAATCATTCAAGGCAGGTTCTGTAAGTAAAAACAGATCTAAGCTTGGACAAAAGTGAGAAAGTTGTGACTTACAAGGTACCTCTAAATGTCTATCCTTTCACCATGGGAACAATATAGAGAGGAAAAGTGGGAGGTCTTTAGCATTTTAGATGGTCCATGTGACGTTGTAAATGCTTTTAAGAAGCTGTTGAATAAAACTAGTTATGCGTGCTAAAAGTACACATACAAATCCAATCAACTTCCACCAATGTCAGACAGCTTGTTACTGGCTTGCTGTGTGCAGCTACCAGTGGTTAATTCCAATCTAGTCGTCATTACACAGTAACAACCATTGACACATTACCATTTTTGGACTGGAGCCATGACACCGCCTTCTCTCCCTGAGAACCCCACTCTTCCTTCTGCTCGGTGAAAGATCCATGAAGTGAAAGCACCGCTAGGACAGTAGCCCAAAATGGAACATCGGCTTCCTGGAAGAGATTAGAAGATATATTTACCCCAGCCTGGCAAAGGGAGCAGGCACACCATCCTCTGGGTATGGTTTATAAGTATGGCAACAAACTAGGGCTCACTTCCATGAGTACATGTAGAATGAAGACTCCTGGTGACAAATTAACTCTATAATTAACCTTTAGGCCAGTAAAGAAGCTACGGGTTGAAAAATATATATATAAATTAATAATGAATGAGGGTTAGTAACTGCCCTGTTCCAACTTCTCCTCAATAGTCTTATCACAATACCAATTATTGCTTTGTAGTAGGATTAATCCTTTTGTATTGTTCAGCTGACAAATTGCCTGAGTAACAAGGAATGGAATGTTTTAACTATAAAAGTTACATTTTCTAATCAGTCCATTTATTTTGAATAGATCTTTGTATAGCACACCTAGTCCTTGGACCTACGTGGACAATGGAACTTCTGATAGAGAATAAGGAATTATACAGTCCCAGTAGTTAAAAGAAAACCGTGTGTATCATGCAGCTGCTGGTAATACAGGAAGTGGTGTCAGGAAATAAAATCTATTTTTTATTTTTATTTTGTTTACTACCTTTTTCTGGCACAAGCGATCCATGAAAGGCATTTCAATAAATGTGGTCTAGTAAATAAATGTAAGGAAAGATGCTATACAGAACATGTTTATCATGGATTTAAAATTAGAGATAGTTGGATAATCTGAACCATACAATCATTTAGTTTACCACAGCAGTGATCGTTACCTCTGGACGGTTTTCATTGAAGCCCTCCGATACTCCCAAGGCAGAGGCCAGTTTCTCATTGGGAGCCCAGAACCCGTCGGAATTTTGTAGAGAAAGCAGCCGAGAAAGAGGCGTCTCCTCAGGATCTTTGCTTTCTAGAACGGAGAAAAAGAAATATTAAATTTACTAAAGTTTAAAAATACATGTGAAATAGGGAGGGTTTTTACTGCATGACTGGACAGCCAGATCACATTAGAAAGGAGTAAGTTAGATTTTATTAAGGCTCTGTATTTTGACTCAAACTATGGGTCATGAAGTGTGTGTATAGACTCACCAACAATGCAGTTTTTAGCTTAAAGGGATACATGGTTTGGAGGATAAATGTGTGCATCACTCACTATCCTACTGCATGTATGCCTGCACATATTATATTTTTCTGAGTCACTGGATGTATCAGATCTGAAAGGGAATGAGTACAAACTGCAAGGACCTTTTAAGGTGCCATTGATTTGGCAGCTTTTAAAGTCATGTGCGCTGTTCCTTAATCTGTATTTTGTATTGTGATGGGATTCCTGCATTGTCAAAATTTAGAAGGCCGAAATCTCCACGTTGCGCATGCTAATTAGTATCTGATTACAAACAGCTGGATGAGTCATCAGTATACTGAGCATGTGTGGAAGTGGATAGTACATTCCTTTGTCTTTAACAAGCCATGTGCTCTGCCCATATAAGGTGATCCTGAATTTCCTGTGTGCTGATTGGTCTGAAGAATATAGGAGGGGTTATACTTTATGGGAGGGGATATGCTGCTAACAAAGGGCCTCTGCACCATGCTTTCTGCCTCTCAAATATTTTTGAAACAGGAGTTCATCTGAGACCCGATCAGTGTCCAAGACCTGTTACTTCCTGAAGACTTGGGTCCATATCTCTATGTGTGGCTTCTGCAGTTTTTTCCGGTTATTCCTCCGGAAACAGTATATGCCCCCAATTCCCTTTTTTATTGACCTGACAGCCAATTAAACAACCCTATCCTAGATATTGCATTTTGGAAACGATTTTAGGCTTTTGTCCGAATCAATTTCTTGTAATCCATTGAATAAGACGCCAAGTAAATCACGGCCAGATTTATTTATTCCAGTGGGGATAAATAAAAATTAAAAAAAAAAAGTGATTTAGATTAGCTCAAAACAAAAAATAGAAAATAAAGTCTAATGAGCACTATAACATAGTGTAGTGATCCTCCAGTTTTTGGGTAAACTGCTTGACTAGAAATTGAGCTCTCATGGTACCCAACTTCTATCCCTGCTGTATAAATACACGCTCACAAGAATACAAATTTGTACAGGGATTTTCTGTTGTATGTTTAACCCCTTAAGGACACATGACGTGTGACATGTCAGGATTCCCTTTTATTCCAGAAGTTCGGTCCTTAAGGGGTTAAAAAAAAAAAAAGTGTATGCTTTAAGCAGTTTTGGGAAAAAAAAAAAAAAATAGGTTTTCCTGGACAAAATATGGGAGCATACCAATAACTTCACCCACTTGGCTGTTTAGGTCAGGATATTAACGTTCTAAGTACTACATATGCTCCAGTATTTTCTGGGTCCTCTGACGGTGGGCAGTTCTCCTTTTTCAAGGTTTGCAAGGAGAGCACAGTCCCTCTTCCAGTTGATCCAGCCCTGTTAAAGGCAACTCCATGGATGTACAGAGTGTCTGACTTCAACTCTCACCAAAGAGAGGACAAAGGAATATGGGGTGCACAAGGAAGGCTCACATTAAATGACCACTATAGGCACCCAGACCACTTCAGCTCAATAAAGTGGTCTGGCTGCCAGGTCCCCCTGTTTTTAACCCTGCAGCTGAAAATAGGTTTCAGAGAAACTGCTATGTTTACATTGAGGGTTAATCCAGCCTCTAGTGGCTGTCTACCGCGATTCTGAAAAATCATACGGAGATGACGCTGACGTTTATAGGAAAGCATTAAGTAATGCTTTTCCTATGGGTGGTTTGGATGCGCGCACTGCTCTTGCTGTGCATGTGCATTTGGAGCTGAGGTCACGAGCAACGAGGGATCCCGGTGCTAAATTAAGGTAAGTGGCTGAAGGGGTTTTAACCCCTTAAGCCCAGCAGGAGGGGTGGAGCTAATACTCCTATAGTGCTCCTTTAAGTTTTCAAATTCCCCACTTTCCACTGTTACAGCTCTGCAACAAATTATCTGGATTTATCCTGGCTGTCAAGATAGTTTTGTGATTGCAGATAGTGTACCTGTAATACAAGTAAGTAGATACTAGTACAAGTATGGAGATATAGTTATTAGTTACACCTGAAACTTACCATGAGGTTTCCTTATAACAAACTGAACCAATGTATTCTGCCAATACAGAGACCAACTGAACATACACAGATCTACCAATTAAATAAAAACAGTGCCCGTAGGCAGGAAATTAGAGAATGTGCTGGCCTAGACTGCTGAAGTTTCCGAAAAAACAAACAGCCTACCACTATCTACAAAGAGATAACAAACCCACACCAGATCTTACTAAAAGCAATGAGCCCCAAACAGTCAGATGGCGTGTCAGTTCGAACTGACCACTCAGACTAGAGAGACTGGCAGACAGAACTTGGCAACAAAAAACATTAAATACAGAATTGAACATGGAAACAAATTGCACAAACATACTAACCAGGTTCTGGTTCTTTAGAAGGTTCTGATTGACCTGGATTTTCTAGTGGTGGTTCCAATGGGCAGGCTATAGCAACTGGAGGTAGAGACCAGATAATCATTAGATACACAAGATCTAGTTTTAGGGAGAGCAGCTAAGTACAACATATGTCAGTCATTCTAATCAACAAAAACATGATGCTATGCTGCCTAGCATGCCTTTGTTCAGAAATTGTTTGATTTAAACCTAGGATTTTCTTCACACCCACTGACTGCCCTATCTTCACCATCACTTATGAAGAATCATTGTCAATTTTATACAGTGGTCCACTCAGTCCCCTAAATAGTTATACCAAAGTTCTATATGCTTAAAGCACACTATAGGCACTTCATACCATTGAAGTGGTCTGGGTGCAGTGTCCCCATCACCCATAGTCCTGCAATGTGAAACATTGCAGTTTTAGAGTATTAAGACTGCCTCTAGTGGCAGTCTACAGACAGCTATTATAAGCGCTACCTGGAGTGTCACAGAGTGACTCTGAATGTCCCAACGCTCTGCATGAGGACGTCCAATGTCAGATAGAGCCCCATAGGAAAGCAGTGAGGCAATGCTTTCCTATGGTGAAGGCCTAATGTGCATTATCTCCTCTTTTGGAAGACGTTTGAGGAAGAGGAGCGCGGCATCAGGTAAGTGAATAAAGGTTTATTATAACCCTTTACAGCTAGCAGGGACCCAGGGAGGGGACTGCAGAGCACGTTAGTGTTATGAATACAAAGATGTATTCAATGATAAAGTGTTCCTTAAGACGGCCAACATGCAGAAGTTACACTAGTATTAGTTAAACTCGCCCCATTTCAAGCATAAACACAGACCAGGAGGCGGGTACTTAAACTAGTATATCATATCAGAACCAGGAGACGGCACAGGTCATTAGGACATTTACATATGGCCACATTGGTTAGACTAGTTAATACATATGAAAAGACACATTTAGAAAAATTTTGCTGACGTTCTTTGAAGTAGTACAACTACAACATTCATAGCAATAAACATTAGAAGTAAGACAGCAGTTAACAGGAGAAGTGTTTGAAAAGCTGAAAGCTCCTAAACTTACCAGGTTCTGAATCCGATGGCTTGGATTCATCATTGTTTTCTTGTGTAGTTGCTGGTCCAAAAATTGGACAGACAGCTATTTCTAGATTCAGGAGAGGAATACATGGAGACAAACTCAGATTTTTTGCAGCTGAATTCACTCTGGAAGGAGGAGGATAACCCTACTCACAGTATTATCTAGTATAACACACTCAATTATTGGTAAGATCTCTGTGTTATCTTCCTCATCACCTATATAGCACAAATAAATTCTACAACACTATAATAAAAATAAAATGTGAAAAAATAAGATACTAATTAGATCCTTTCCAGTGTCCACGATGTCATTAAACAATTGCGTTTGAGGGGAGCAAAAAAGGTGTTCCTCCAGTTTTTGGATTCCACGCGTGAGTAAAGAAACACAGTTACACTATGGATTTCTATGTGCCAGATGGTGGATTTAATGGGCTAATAGTAATAGAGGGGGCCTTGTTAGAGGCCTTTAGAATGATTTAGTAAAACATTTACAATGGGTCGTGTCATCTTAAGAGTTCAAGACAGCGTGTGCAGAGCCTTAAACAGTAATTGAGGAGCGATGTGGAGAGTGTAAACCTGTCAGAAGAGATTGGGAAGGGTCGGGGGGGGGAGGGGACAAAAAATAAATAAAAGCCAGGTTGTGGAGGGTTTTGTATAGAAGGTATCCTTGATGGTGTGAAGATTCTATGAAGGTCTATGCTATGTTTGTTAAGAGGAGAAGGGTTACTAAAATTGAAAACTTCTAAACATACTAGGTTTTGGCTCTTCAGATGGTTTGGATTCATCATTGTTTTCTTGTGTAGTTTCTGGTCCAGCTACATCTAGAATCAAGAATACATTGAGACCAAGTCAAATACTATATATTTTGCAGCTCACATCACTGAGGAGCCTAGTCCTACTTACAGTATTAATACAATATGTTCTCAGGATTATCTTCATTACATCAATAAATTGTACAGCAGTACAACATACAGAGTAAAGAGCAGAACAACCACACACTGAAACCAGACAGTTGGGTTTAAGATCAGTGCCAATAAGTGAAGTATAAAGTCTAAGTTCACAAGAAGAGGGGACAAATACAAGAAGACAGAAAAACTGTAGGGGTTTTTGTAAGGTGTAGATTTTTTTTTTTAATGAAGATCTGGTGAGGGTATAAGCCAAGTAGATTTGTGCATTCGGTGTCTGTAGCTTTGAAAAGCCATATTAACATATCACAAAATAAATGAAAACATAATGAATAAACGGTTTTGCTTGTTTTGTGATTTGTAGTTCCATAAAATTAGTTTACAGCCCCTCATTTCATTCCCCTCCCTCCTCCCCTACTACAGTCAGAATCTTCCAAACTAACCAGGGTTTGAATCTTCAGAAGGTTTGGATTCATCATTGTTTTCTTGTGTAGTTGCTGGTCCATAAATCGGACAGACAGCTATTTCTAGAATCAGAAGAGGAATGTAGAGACCAACTCAGATATATTCAGCAGCTGAATTCACTTTGTGGAGGAGCCAACCCCTACTTACAGCGTTATCTAGTATAATATAATAATGTATTGGTTCATGCTAAGGATTATCTTTACCCATATAGCAACAATATATTCTATAGCAACACTGGATACATTGAATAAAGAGTAAAATAAAGATTAAAAACTGCACACGAAACCCAGACAGAACGAATAAGATGTCCTGGTTACTACATTGTTCATCTTCTACAAATAATTATAGGACAGGCAAGTTTGATTATAACTCATAAAAAGTATATGATGGCCAAGAGAAGATGTGTAGTGATAAAGGATTAGAGTAAACATTTTCATTAAGAGGAAGGTGCAATAGGAAGAGAAGGAACAATTGGAGATAACCAGAAATATATCAAATGTCTATGGAGTAAAGTAGGTAGAGAAGTTTAACAGTCTCGACTTCGTAGGGAAGTTCATTTACATTTTGCCAAGATCATGTCATTAAAACAGCTTTTGTATGGTTGTTTTGGTGGGGTTTTTTCCGCTTTACAGACACAAATGCAAGACAGTCAGAGAAGAGTGAAATAATCTAAACTCCTTGAAATAACGATGTTGATTAACAGGGAAACGAGAGTGGATAATAGTTTGATAGAATAAAGTGTGTGCTTGAAGGTAAATAAAGTAAGATATTAAATACAAGTGAAAATATTAAGTGGATAGGAAAGGATCACAGGGCCATGTGGCTGCACACATAGTAAACCGGAAGCTATAGAGACAAGCAAGTTCCCGATCCTTGCCATTTAAACAAGTAGCAAATTCTTGGGTCATGAATGAGGGATGTGAAAGAATTGGAGCAATATTGTTAAAAGGCCTAGAGTTGTAAGAGAATGTGTATTGAATGAGATCTACATTAGAGGCAATTGGAACAAGGTATTTAGAGCGTCATAGGGATAATATATGGCTCGCTAAATTGTCCTAAAGGATCGTTAAATGCCCTAAAGGATTGCACACATGCACTTGGCCAAATCTTCCATGACATGTTGATAATGAAATTAAGAAGAAAAAAAAAATTATGTTAGTTATACATCTCCCATTGGTGACATACAATATCTCACAAAAGTGAGTACACCCCTCACATTTTTGTAAATATTGCATGTGAAAACACTGCTACACTGTAAAGTAGTAACTGTACAGCCTGTATAACAATGTAGATTTGCTATCCCCTCAAAATAACTCACACAGCCATTAATGTCTAAATCGTTAGCAACAAAAGTGAGTACACCCCTAAGTGGAAATGTCCAAATTGGGCCCAAGTGTCAATATTTTGTGTGGACACCATTATTTTCCAGCACTACCTTAACCCTCATGGGCATGGAGTTCACCAGAGCTTCACAGGGTGGCACTGGAGTCCTCTTCCATGAGGACATCACGGAGCTGGTGGATGTTGGAGACCTTACGCTCTCCAACAGCTACCCAATAGGGTTTAGGTCTGGAGACACGCTTGGCCAGTCCATCACCTTTAGCAAGGCAGTGGTCGTCTTGGAGGTGTGTTTGGGGTTATCATGTTGGAATACTGCCTTGTGGCCCAGTCTCTGAAGGGAAGGGATCATGCTCTGCTTCAATAGGTCACAGCACATGTTAGCATTCATGTTTCCCTCAATGGACTGTAGCTCTCCAGTGTCAGCAGCACTCATGCAGGCCCAGACCATGACACTCCCACCACCATGCTTGACACCATCTGAACCAAATATGGTTATCTTGGTCTCATCAGACCACAGGACATTCCAGTAATCCATGTCCTTAGTCTTCTTGTCTTCAGCAAACTGTTTGTGGGCTCTCTTGTCCATCATCTTTAGAAGAGGCTTCCTTCTGGGACGACAGCCAAGCAGACCAAATTTGATGCAGTGTGTGATTAAGGACTGAGCACTGACAGGCTGACCTCCTCCCCCCCAACCTCTGTAGCAAGGCTGGCAGCACTCATACGTCTATTTCCCCAAAGACAGCCTGTGGATATGACGCTGAGCATGTGCACTCAACTTTTGGTCAACCATGGCGAGGCCTGTTCTGAGTGGAACCTGTGTGAAACCACTGTATGGTCTTGCCCACCATGCTGCAGCTCATTTTCAGGGTCTTAAGCCATCTTTATGTAGATCAACAATTTGGTTTTCAGATCCTCAGAGAGTTCTTTGCTATGAGGTGCCATGTTTAACTTCCAGTGACCAGTATGAGAGCAACACCAAATGTAACACACCTGCTTCTTGTAACACTAACGAGTCGCATGACACTGGGGAGAAAAATTGGCTAATTGGGCCCAATTTGGACATTTCCACTTAGGGGTGTACTCACTTTTGTTGCCAACAGTTTAGACATTAATGGATGTGAGTTATTTTGAGCGGACAGCAAATTTACACTGTTATACAGGCTGTACACTTACTATTTTACATTGTAGCATAGTGTCATTTCTTCAGTGTTGTCACATAAGATATAATTAAATATTTACAAATATATGAGGGGTGTACTCACGTTTGTGAGATACTGTATACTGAGTTCCAATACTGTATTGAATACTCATTTTAAAAAAACTGTAGGGAGAGCATAAGCCACAAATACAATGATATAACTATTTAAAGGGACAATATAGTCACCAAAACAACTTTAGCTTAACCAAGCAGTCTTGGTGTATAGATCGTTAAATCTCTTTGTTCATGCAGCCCTAGTCACACCTTTCTGCATGTGACTTACATAGCCCTCCTAAAAACTTCCTGTAAAGAGTCATGTCATGTTTATACTTCCTTTATTGCAAATTCTGTTTAATTTATAATTTATTATTTCCTGCTTTAATAGCCTCATGTGTGTAATTAAAGTTCAATTTACAGAGCAGGAGATTAAAAAAAAAAAAAAAACAACTTTTAAAGTTAGTTAGAACTGATAGAAAATCAAGCCATTTTGCCTTCTACAGGTTGTGTGTGTCACAGCCAGGTGATTTGAGTGGCTAGGGCTGCATAAACAAACAAAAGTGATTTAACTCTGATATGACAGATAATTGGGCAGTGACACAGAGGCATGATCTATACACCAAAACTGCTTCATTAAGCTAAAGTTGTTTTGGTGACTATAGTGTCCCTTTAACATGGGGTATCACAGGGTGTAGTCTGGAGAGATGAGGCCTCTGGGAGCAATGAATGTTAATTATTTAGAAAACAGGATTACACCAGGATTACCATTACAGACAGATAATACTCCAACACGGAGCACAAACTCATTATCAGTAAACATGGTTATGACCCCAGCCCAGCAGTAACAGCTAGCATTAAAGGTTAGGATATAAAACAGTTAATTTGATGGTTGAAAAGGAGACCAGTCACATAAATAGCACCGGTCCCACTTTTACCAGGCTCTGTGTTAGTGGTGTTAGATACGTCATCGGTCAGCAAGACTGGTGCAGGTGGAGATGGCTCAGGTGCAGGCACGTAACAAATCTCAAATTCTGGTACTGAAACAGAGGGGAGGATTTACATTAAATGAGAGGAATTAGTACGGTTCTCAGAGACGGTCATACTAGACGTCTATACGAATTTCTCATTTTGTCCCCTAACCAAAAACGGGATTCTTAATATTTTTAATATAAGGAGTTCAACAAGGATGCACAAAGCCACAAATAAAGTAAAAATAAATAAATGTTAATTATGTTTGCATTTAGTGATAATCGTAATTATAAGTCAAATTGAAGGTAAATTAAAGTTGCAGGAGTTGCCCCAGTACTGAATAAAGAGTTAGGAGAGTCAGAAAGTGCATTATTAGGTATGTTTTTTCATTGTGGCTGGTTAGTACACATATATTGTGTCTGGAGTCCATCTACAGCACAGTCACAACAACGACATTACTACTAACCATGACAAGAGACTGCTCACAATTAAAATATTTACATATCTATAGATATAGAAAAGAAAGGTAGGGATCTTGAGAAAAATCACTCAGCATTGTTGAATCCATGTTGTAGAGAGAGTTGTACAGAAAGGCAGAAAAGGAAATCTGACTAGACATGGACATACCAGGTTCTGGGTCGGTTTTAGGCTGTTCTGACTCTTCTGCATCAGGAACCGGAGGAGGGATAGCTTGACATTCTGCAATCTCTGAAAATAGATTGGGTAAATAGGAAAGATTGGATATGTATACAAAATTCCAATGTGTCTTCTAGAACACCAAGTTGGTGGAGGTGCTACATGTTCACTAGACCACACTGTAAGGAACTGGCCCTGTCCCTAATAAAAAGGTAATGAGTGCGGTCTGTACTATAAAACCTGTTCATAGGGGCTAAATGATGGGAGGTTTGAGAGACAAGAGGCATATTTTTACTGCCGTTATTGTATCAGTACTTTGTAAAAACAGTAAGTATAGCATATTCAACCTACAGGAGTGTTTGGAACTGGCTTTTGTTGTGGCCAACTTCCACAATGAGCCAGATACAAGATGGTGTATCCAGCATCTATCAAAATATTTATATTTACATTATTTGGGAGGGACCCTGTAACTAAAGCAATAGACCTACCAGGTTCTGGGCAAGTAGGTGGTTCTGATTCTTTTCCCACAGGTGGAAGTTCTTGACTGTTTGCAGTTTCTACAAATAGAGGGAGGTGGAATAGGGACAGAGAAGAAGAAAAAAAAGTGTTTTAGGACTGACTTTGTTAGAGATTTCACATATTCATATAGCTGAATGGAACAACTAAGTACTGATATGGAGCAGTGGTATCGCGTTTGTTAGTTCCATATTGGAAAAGAATTGCCAGACAGTGTAGGTCAGAACCAAACGTCCTAAGGAAAACAGGCTCCAGTTTGTTATAACCTCTTAGGTTTGTCACTTACCTAAACCCAATGCCGAGGGTCAGGCTCTGCCTCGGCACTAACTAGTGATCGCATTAGGGCAATCCTATAGGACGCTGATGTCGTCATGCATAGAGTGAGGAAGTCCAGTGTCAGTTAGGCAACCAAAAGTTTCCTCATCATCTGGAGACATCTCTAGTGACTTTTAGACAGCCACTAGAGGTGGAGATAACCCTGCAAGGTTATTATTGCAGTTTCTCGATAACTGCAACAATTACTATGGCAAGGTTAAACTGACAGGGGCACTGCACGCAGACCACGTCAATGAACTGAAATGGATAGAGTTTGTTTTTTTTTTTTTCCCACATCATCTTGTTTTTTCCCCAGCCCGGTTTTTATGTATTCTGTATTTTTGGATATTTCTCCCCATAGACTGTCAAGCTGGTTAACATTAAGATATAGATATAGATTTGGGTCCTTGCCAAGGAGTGAGGCCCCTTTGGTCTCAAATAGCCTTTTTTGGGGTGAGAACTAGACCTTTGTTCCAGTAGAAACTGTAGCTTATTGACAGCTACCTTTGCTTATATTGTATATAACAAAGGATAAAGGAAAACAGCAGTGCAGTCCAGGAGCCTGGATGCAAATTAAGGGCTAGTGGGTTGCAGCCCTGTGACCACCTATAGTGGAGCTCATAGGATGAGGGCATAACCCTCTAATAGCGTAAAAGTGGGAAATATAGTGTCCCACTGAGGGAGACTAGTGGCAGGGGCTTCACTGGCATAAAAATATAAAAAGAGGGAAAAGGGAAGGAAACCCAACTTTTAATCAATCTAGGAATATGCATAAAAGGCAAGCCAAAAGGAAAAAAGGCAGATTAGCTAAACGGTGCAACGGGGATATGTGAGCTACAGTGCTCTAACTCACAGGAAATGGGGGGAACCAGAGGAAGACAATTTAGCTCTTGAATATAGTGTAACAAAAATGTAACTACTGTTACTACCATGATTATGGTGCTAAAGTACCCCGTTCCCTCTAGCAACTGACTAAATGGATAGGCAGATATGTCAGGTAAGAGGGAAAGATAAGTAGGAGATTGGAGAATCTAATCAAACCTAACAAAAACTTAGAAGGCCTTCCCTTAGATTACCTCGACACGGTGGACAAGCCACTAATGTCTACCTAAACCATCTCTCCCTATTACAGCTTGCCAAAGAAAAAGAAAAACGTGAAATAAACCTCCCTAAAAAGAAGATAAACACAATGGTATGAAAATTGTGCTACCTAGTGAGGTGTGAAAGGAAAGAAACAGAAAGATTGACACGCGTTTCGCGTGTCAGCACGCTGTCGTCAGGAGCATACTACTGTGGGCAGCTTGTCTGTCAGCTTTATGTCCTTATCATTAACTAACAAGTACCATCAGCTGTTCTCTGTGGGAGGTCACAGAGAAGGGCATACAGGGTCATCAACCCACCCCCTAAGTAACCTGACTGGTTAACACTCTAGGAGTGGCAAGGTGGGGGGGGGGGAGCCACCTAAAATGTAAACAAATGTTTCAAGATGGTAAGAAACTCACAATCCGTAAGGGTAAGGCAAAACCCCATAAAAAAAGGATATGGCTGGGAGAAGGCTTGTTGGTGTATGGAAGGGTATATCCTTCCTATCATTGAGTTCATACAGGACGGGGATTGGTGTGTCTGGTGAGATCTGAAGCACTTCTCTTATATGAATGTGAAAACTTAGCATCAAACATTCCTACAGTACGTATGGAATAATATAATTTATTATTTCCTGCTTTAATAGCCTCATGTGTGTAATTAAAGTTCAATTTACAGAGCAGGAGATTTAAAAAAAAAAAAACACAACTTTTAAAGTTAGTTATAACTGATAGAAAATCAAGCCATTTTGCCTTCTACAGGTTGTGTGTGTCACAGCCAGGTGATTTGAGTGGCTAGGGCTGCATAAACAAACAAAAGTGATTTAACTCTGATATGACAGATAATTGGGCAGTGACACAGAGGCATGATCTATACACCAAAACTGCTTCATTAAGCTAAAGTTGTTTTGGTGACTATAGTGTCCCTTTAACATGGGGTATCACAGGGTGTAGTCTGGAGAGATGAGGCCTCTGGGAGAAATGAATGTTAATTATTTAGAAAACAGGGATACACCAGGATTACCATTACAGACAGATAATACTCCAACACGGAGCACAAACTCAGGGCTGCCATCAGAAATTTTGGGGCCCCTGACACAGCTCAAGGTCTGGGCCCCCCGGTGCCTGCACCCGAGTCTCCCCCCCTGAGTCCACCCACAGGGATGCAGTGTCTGCAGGGCCGGTGCAAGGATTTTTGCCGCCCTAGACAAAAGTAAAGTTTGCCGCCTCCCATGTGACATCACAATGCCCCACCCATATGATCTGCCATGTTAACTAACACAGTGCTGCCGTGTTTACAATTAAAGGCCTGCAGGGACAGGCTATAGACACCAGAACCACTACATTAAGCTGCAGTGGTTCTGGGGACTATAGTGTCCCTTTAATGTGAGGTAAATTAGAGCTTAGTGCCACGAATAATATACTAGATTGCCTACTTACAACCAGATGAGGTTGATGATGGGCTCTAGCTGCCGTCTGGCTCCATTGGTCTGGTGTAGAACAGGCTCTCTGGAGGCGATTTGTAACTGTGGTCAGGGCCGCCACCAGAAATTTTGGGGCCCCTAACTCAGCTCAGGGTCTGGGGCCCCTGGGGCCCGCCTCCAAATACCGCCCACTGGGTCCGCCTCCAAATACCGCCCACAGGAAAACACACACAGACATAAACACACACACTGATACAAAAAGACAGAGATACATACTAACAGACACACATACTGAAACAGACATACACGCATACAGGCATACATACTGAGACATACACACAGGCATACATAGTGACAGACAGACACATACTAACATACATACAGACACACATGCATGAGGACATAAAGACACATACATACATACAGACACCGATATGCATACATACATACACACACACAGACATACTGACAGACATACAGACACTGTCATCCATACACACATACATTCATAATGGCATACAGACATAAACAGACATACATTCATAAGGGCATACAGACATACATACATACATTCAGACTGACATACATGCATATATACAGACATATTGACAGACATACATGCATACAGACATCCATACACACATACACACATACGTTCATAATGATATGCAGGCATACATTCATACTGACATACATATATAATGACATACAGACAGACATAGATGCATACATACATAGACATACATACAGACATACACATACATACAGACAGACATACATACACACATGCATACACACATGCATGCATACAGTCAGACAAACATAGACATACACACAGACATACATACAGACACACACAGACATGCATACAGACAGACATACATACACATACATGCATACAGACCGACAGATATACATACACAGACAGACATACATAACATAGATATACATGCATGCCTACAGACAGACAGACATACACATACATACATACATAGACAGACATACATGCATACAGACAGACAGACAGACATGCATACAGACAGGCATACACATACATACAGACACACACAGACATACATACACAGACAGACATGCATACAGACAGGCATACACATACAGACAGACATGCATACAGACACACACACACAGCTCATTTTCCAGCCACCCTCCTGTCTCTTACCTTTTCTTTGCAGGAGGGTGGCTGGGGATGATGGGAGTCGGCGCGGCTCCCTCTTCACTGCCTGGTTCTCCCACTTAACCGGCCGCGCGCTCCTCCCGCGTGGAGTGGGCTGGGAGGAAGTGACCACTTCCTCCCAGCAGCACTTGCGACTTTTTTTTGGCTGACCGGGCTACTGAAGATTTAGGGCCCATCGGGTGGCCCTAAGTGTGTGGCCATCCGATGGGACCCACATGTGGGGCCCGGGTGGCCGGGCCCCCCAGGGCCGCCGGGCCCGTGACAACCGTTATGGTTGTCACCCCCTGATGGCGGCCCTGACTGTGGTCACAAAAATCAATGTTCTGGGAGAACGGGGAGCAGCACCATTTTTTTTGAGGGCCCTTTACACAGCTCAAGGTCTGGGTCCCAGGGTCCACCTTTATGTTTCACCAATGAGTTTGTTCACAGGGGTGTGTGTGTGGGGGGGGATGTCCTGATGTGTGTAAGGAATGCATTGTGTGAATCTGTGTTTGCATGTGTAAGGGCTCCAAGGTGAGTTTGTGTATGTATGGGATGCAGTGTGTGCGTCTGTAAGGGATGCACTGAGTGTGTGTAAGGGGTGCATTGTGTGTTGCTGTGTGTAAGGGATGCATTGCTTGTGTATGTGTCTGTGTGTAATGTATTGTGTGTTTTTCTGTGTGCAAGGGGTGCATTGTGTGTGTGTGTGATGGATGTCAATCTCTCCCCCTACCCCCGTCTATTTCCTTCTTCTCCCCCTCCCTCTCATTTCCTTCTTCTCCCCCTCCCTCTCATTTCCTTCTTCTCCACCCATCAAATTTCCTTCCTCCCTCCCCCCTCAAATTTCCTTCCTCCCTCCCTCCCTCAAATTTCCTTCCTCTCCCCCCCTCCTCAAATTTCTTCTCTCCTCCCTCCCCTCAAATTTCCTTCCTTTCCCTCCCCCCCTCAAATTTCCTTCCTCTCCCTCCCCCCTCAAATTTCCTTCCTCTCCCTCCCTCAAATTTCCTTCCTCTCCCTCAAATTTCCTCCCTTCCTCTCCCCCACTCAAATTTCCTCCCTCCCTCTCCCTGCCCACTCAATTTTCTTCCCTCCCTCTCCCCCCCACTCCCACAAATTTTCTCCCCCCTCACTCACTCACTCATTTTCTCCCTGCAGACGTCCGGCGCGCGAGGGAGCACTCTCTGTGTGCTTCCTCTTCAGCTCCCTCGCGCGCCGCGTACTAATGCCAGAGCCGGAAGATGACGTCATCTTCCGGCTCCGGCATCAGTACGGTGCGCGAGGGAGCTGAAGATTAAGCACACAGAGAGTGCTCCCTCGCGCGCCGGCCCGCCGGGTGTCAGCAGGGCCAGCCTCTGGGGGGCCCTGAGGTGACCGGCTGCTGGGCCCCCCAGGAGAAGAGGCTGGCCCTGTGGGTACATACCGGGTCGCAGGGCCCCCTGCGACCCGGTATGTACCCACTGAATGTGGGGCCCGGACGACCTGAGCAGTCCGGGCCCCCAAGGACCGCCGGGCCCATGACAACCGTTGCGGTTGTCATGCTCTGATGGCGGCCCTGCACAAACTCATTATCAGTAAACATGGTTATGACCCCAGCCCAGCAGTAACAGCTAGCATTAAAGATTAGGATATAAAACAGTTAATTCGATGGTTGAAAAGGAGACCAGTCACATAAATAGCACCGGTCCCACTTTTACCAGGCTCTGTGTTAGTGGTGTTAGATACGTCATCGGTCAGCAAGACTGGTGCAGGTGGAGATGGCTAAGGTGCAGGCACGTAACAAATCTCAAATTCTGGTACTGAAACAGAGGGGAGGATTTACATTAAATGAGAGGAATTAGTACGGTTCTCAGAGACGGTCATACTGGACGTCTATACGAATTTCTCATTTTGTCCCCTAACCAAAAACGGGATTCTTAATATTTTTAATATAAGGAGTTCAACAAGGATGCACAAAGCCACAAATAAAGTAAAAATAAATAAATGTTAATTATGTTTGCATTTAGTGATAATCGTAATTATAAGTCAAATTGAAGGTAAATTAAAGTTGCAGGAGTTGCCCCAGTATGAAGTTATTCTAGCACGTTTGGGGATCTCATACACAATATATTAACTCAACGGCTGTTGGTGTGCAAAATGCTTCATGTACCTTTGTATTCACTAGGTTATAGCTGCCAGTTTGATTTTGGTGACTGAATAAAGAGTTAGGAGAGTCAGAAAGTGCATTATTAGGTATGTTTTTTCATTGTGGCTGGTTAGTACACATATATTGTGTCTGTAGTCCATCTACAGCACAGTCACAACAACGACATTACTACTAACCATGACAAGAGACTGCTCACAATTAAAATATTTACATATCTATAGATATAGAAAAGAAAGGTAGGGATCTTGAGAAAAATCACTCAGCATTGTTGAATCCATGTTGTAGAGAGAGTTGTACAGAAAGGCAGAAAAGGAAAAACCCTCATTCAGGCCGTGTGGTGAAAGTGTGTTAAGTCTATACATTTAATATGATTTTCTTTGTCGCAATCTGCGGTCCCAATTCCCTTTACATTGGGATTGGGCACTCAATGCCCAGGTATCTGATTTTGTTCGCAGAGTTAGCATGATGTGTTTAGGTGACGTAAGATCGGTGTCTCAAATGGTCTTCTTACCGAGTTGACGTGTTCCCTTATAACCTCTATAAATCAGAAGCTTTCTGCAATAATTTAACCAAACCTGAGCTTCCATGAGGATACACCAAATTCAAACACCAAGGCGGTATAACAATTTAATAAAAACATTTCTGGACTGGGAGTAACTGCAGCCATTCTACACATTATATTTGGATGACTAAATTTAGCTACTCTGCCAGTGGGCATTCTACATGATGGCCACCAGTTAGATGACCACTTGTTGCCCATTATCAATATAAACACTTAAACATTAAAGAAGTAAATCTCAATTACTACAGCTCTGTTTGAAATGAAGTAACATGGTTTTAAAATGATAAAGTAATCGTGCTACTTTAAACACCTACAGGTTTTGAAAATTCTTTATGATGCTTTGGTCAGCGATAGCAGCTAAACGTTCTAGGACTGCAATGTGTGAACAAGGATCTCTGACTAGACATGGACATACCAGGTTCTGGGTCGGTTTTAGGCTGTTCTGACTCTTCTGCATCAGGAACCGGAGGAGGGATAGCTTGACATTCTGCAATCTCTGAAAATAGATTGGGTAAATAGGAAAGATTGGATATGTATACAAAATTCCAATGTGTCTTCTAAAACACCAAGTTGGTGGAGGTGCTACATGTTCACTAGACCACACTGTAAGGAACTGGACCTGTCCCTAATAAAAAGGTAATGAGTGCGGTCTGTACTATAAAACCTGTTCATAGGGGCTAAATGATGGGAGGTTTGAGAGACAAGAGGCATATTTTTACTGCCGTTATTGTATCAGTACTTTGTAAAAACAGTAAGTATAGCATATTCAACCTACAGGAGTGTTTGGAACTGGCTTTTGTTGTGGCCAACTTCCACAATGAGCCAGATACAAGATGGCGTATCCAGCATCTATCAAAATATTTATATTTACATTATTTGGGAGGGACCCTGTAACTAAAGCAATAGACCTACCAGGTTCTGGGTAAGTAGGTGGTTCTGATTCTTTTCCCACAGGTGGAAGTTCTTGACTGTTTGCAGTTTCTACAAATAGAGGGAGGTGGAATAGGGACAGAGAAGAAAAAAAAAAAAAGTGTTTTAGGACTGACTTTGTTAGAGATTTCACATATTCATATAGCTGAATGGAACAACTAAGTACTGATCTGGAGCAGTGGTATCGCGTTTGTTAGTTCCATATTGGAAAAGAATTGCCAGACAGTGTAGGTCAGAACCAAACGTCCTAAGGAAAACAGGCTCCAGTTTGTTATAACCTCTTTGTCACTTACCTAAACCCAGTGCCGAGGGTCAGGCTCTGCCTCGGCACTAACTAGTGATCGCATTAGGGCAATCCTATAGGACGCTGATGTTGTCATGCATAGAGTGAGGAAGTCCAGTGTCAGTTAGGCAACCAAAAGTTTCCTCATCATCTGAAAACATCTCTAGTGACTTTTAGACAGCCACTAGAGGTAGAGATAACCCTGCAAGGTTATTATTGCAGTTTCTCGATAACTGCAACAATTACTATGGCAAGGTTAAACTGACAGGGGCACTGCACGCAGACCACGTCAATGAACTGAAATGGATAGAGTTTGGGGTTTTTTTTTTCACACATCTTCTTGTTTTTTCCCCAGCCCGGTTTTTATGTATTCTGTATTTTTGGATATTTCTCCCCATAGACTGTCAAGCTGGTTACCATTAAGATATAGATATAGATTTGGGTCCTTGCCAAGGAGTGAGGCCCCTTTGGTCTCAAATAGCCTTTTTTTGGGTGAGAACTAGACCTTTGTTCCAGTAGAAACTGTAGCTTATTGACAGCTACTTTTGCTTATATTGAATATAACAAAGGATAAAGGAAAACAGCAGTGCAGTCCAGGAGCCTGGATGCAAATTAAGGGCTAGTGGGTTGCAGCCCTGTGACCACCTATAGTGGAGCTCATAGGATGAGGGCATAACCCTCTAATAGCGTAAAAGTGGGAAATATAGTGTCCCACTGAGAGAGACTAGGGGCAGGGGCTTCACTGGCATAAAAATATAAAAAGAGGGAAAAGGGAAGGAAACCCAACTTTTAATCAATCTAGGAATATGCATAAAAGGCAAGCCAAAAGGAAAAAAGGCAGATTAGCTAAACGGTGCAACGGGGATATGTGAGCTACAGTGCTCTAACTCACAGGAAATGGGGGAACCAGAGGAAGACAATTTAGCTCTTGAATATAGTGTAACAAAAATGTAACTACTGTTACTACCATGATTATGGTGCTAAAGTACCCCGTTCCCTCTAGCAACCGACTAAATGGATAGGCAGATATGTCAGGTAAGAGGGAAAGATAAGTAGGAGATTGGAGAATCTAATCAAACCTAACAAAAACTTAGAAGGCCTTCCCTTAGATTACCTCGACACGGTGGACAAGCCACTAAGGTCTACCTGAACCATCTCTCCCTATTACAGCTTGCCAAAGAAAAAGAAAAACGTGAAATAAACCTCCCTAAAAAGAAGATAAACACAATGGTATGAAAATTGTGCTACCTAGTGAGGTGTGAAAGGAAAGAAACAGAAAGATTGACACGCGTTTCGCGTGTCAGCAAGCTGTCGTCAGGAGCATACTACTGTGGGCAGCCTGTCTGTCAGTTTTATGTCCTTATCATTAACTAACAAGTACCATCAGCTGTTCTCTGTGGGAGGTCATCAACCCACCCCCCTAAGTAACCTGACTGGTTAAAACTCTAGGAGTGGCAAGGTGAGGGGGGGAGCCACCTAAAATGTAAACAAATGTTTCAAGATGGTAAGAAACTCACAATCCGTAAGGGTAAGGCAAAACCCCATAAAAAAAGGATATGGCTGGGAGAAGGCTTGTTGGTGTATGGAAGGGTATATCCTTCCTATCATTGAGTTCATACAGGACGGGGATTGGTGTGTCTGGTGAGATCTGAAGCACTTCTCTTATATGAATGTGAAAACTTAGCATCAAACAGTCCTGCATAGTGATCAAGGGAGCCAAATTATGGATAGATAGAAACACTGAGTGCAAACAGATCTGCACCAGAGTGTGTGTAATAACCTGTGGCACATATCACCACTAACACACATAGTCAACTCAGAATAAACTCCACTTAGTGGACCTATGTACTAAATGAAATTATTAACGTCCTGACTGAGCCACTGATGTTATCAACTTGGAATAATAATACTATCCATACGTACTGTGAAAGCCATTAGTCACGGAAGCATCCGAATATACTCTAGGATGGGGTATATAATGATTCAGAATTTAAGGACAGTGGAGTTTTGGACTGAGAGAATTCCAGAACATGACAAATCATTGTTTTAATTACAAGTTGGAATAAATATATAGTTATACTTTTACCTGGTTCCTGCTTTTCATCTGGAAGCCTCAAGGTTCCAACGATACATTTATACAACCATCCCTTTTGTGGAGGACATGCCCTTACAGTTCACTCTAAGGGCTCTGGAAAGTGTGAGTGTTCCATTTTTATTGTATCACTGTTATATTTATGTAAACAGGTTACAATATGGTCCCTCTGCTTTGTATTTACATTGTTTAGGGTTCCTACCAAGGGAAAAAACCTACTACATCTTATTTTGAATTAAAGGTAATTAAGTACCACAGTGTGCGCTTTGACACTTCTCTGTGGTATTTTTGTGCCTGGTTAAGTGTACTTTGTGACAATACACTTTGAGTGTTTTAGGCTGCACTTGTGTATTCTTTTTTGCTGTAAGCGCCCGGTATCCCATATATTCTGTTTTACAGCATCCCTGTCGGCTCGGATTGCTCTGCAGTAGGCTCTCTTGAGTACTCTATTAGGATATCCCTTTTCTCTAAAGGGTTTTCTAACATCGCAAGCTTTAGTTTTAAAATCCTTAAGTTAAGAGAAATTCCTGCGCAATCTTCGGTATAGGCCAACAGGGATACTGGCCTTTAATCTTGGTGAATGGTGGCTGGTCCAGTCCAGGACACCATTAGAGGTGATTTTCCGATACAGACCGTTAGATCCAAGAAATTAAGGTTCCTACCCCCCCACTTCACTTGCAAATCTCAGATTGTTAGTATTCAGAAGTGTGACAAAGTCTGTAAAGTCACCCAGATTAAGATGATGTCAATCTTTCAAAAATAGATTTTATCTCGATAAATACTACTATCCATACAGTACGTATGGATAGGAGGATTTATACAACTTGATAAAATCAGTGACACAACTGGATGTTAAATTTAGTACATGGGTCCACTAAGTGGAGTTTATTCTGAGTTGGTTCTGTGTGTTAGTGGTGATACCCCATATTTTTATTTCCACAGGTTATTACACACTCTGGTGCAGATCTGTTTGCACTCAGTGTTTCTATCTATCCATAATTTGGCTCCCTTGATCACTATGCAGGACTGTTTGATGATAAGTTTTCCCATTCATATAAGAGAAGTGCTTCAGATCTCAGACACCAATCCCAATCCCCCTCCTCCCCCCCTCCCCCCCTTCTCTTTTATGCATATCCATAGATTGATTAAAGGTTGGGTTTCATTTCCCCTCTTTTAGGCTAGTAAAGCCCCTGTCTCTAGACTCCCTCAGTGGGAGACTATATATCCTACTTTTGGTTACATTGAAATTTGGGGGTTTTAAGTGGTGATACATTTACACTTTGAGTGAACACACTTTTGATTTTTTCTATTTCAGGTCACAGGCCCTTCTTTGTGTGTTGCAGCCTATTATTGATATTAGAATGTATTAGTTACACCTATTTGTATATTCTATTGGCGCCATAACAACTTAACTTTGGTTAAAGGGACACTCCAGGCACCCAGACCACTTCTGCCCGTTGGAGTGGTCTGGGTGCCAACTCCCACTACCCTTAACCCTGCAATTGCAATTATTGCAGTTTTCATAAACTGCAATATTTACATTGCGGGGTTAAGTCTTCTAGTGACCAACTACTAGACAGACACTAGAGGGACTTCCGTGTTCATAGAACATGAAGTGTTTTAAAATGACGCTGGACGTCCTCACGCTATGTGAGGACCTCCAGCAATGAGGAAATCCCATAGGAAAGCAATGAAAGTGTTATTCAATGCTTTCCCAAGGGGAGGTCGGCTGGGGAGGAGAGAAGGTGGAGCCTGACCCAGTGTCGAGGGACATCGGCGCTGGACTCTGGTAAGCCACTGAAGGGGTTTTAACCCCTTCGGTAACTTGGGATGGGAGGGGCACTAGAGGGTCCTGCAGTGCCAGGGAAACAAAGGTTTTCCTGGCACTGGAGAATCCCTTTAACTAGATACTGTAGTGTTCCTTTATGTTTAAGAACCATAGCACAATGCTGGTATAAAGCGAGACTTTCGTTTAAACATATGACAAAAGTTTTAATATCAAATAAGCCTGACATCTCTATAGACGTTATAATCTCTAGGGTTTATGTCTAATACAGGGGTTCCCAATTAATTTTTCCTGTGCAACCCTTTGACATGGTGTACCAACATCATGGAAACCCCCGCACCCACAAGAAAATTTGCACCGTAAACACAAACCTTTTAATTAGCAGAGTATTAGGTTCCTTTTTGTGCAAATTGAGTTTTTTGGCATACACACACACACACACAGATAGTAAACAGATTGTAATACTTAGGAGCAGGTGTGCTTTTGTATGTAATGTTTGCATTTGTAGTGTTTGTTTTTAAATGCATGTGTGTAATATTGGTGTTTGTGTTTGCAGGGGTGTGTTTGTATATAGTTATGGAGTTTGAATTCAGGGGCATTTTTGTATGTAATCAGGGCCGCCATCAGGGCATGACAACCGTAACGGTTGTCATGGGCCCGGCGGTCCTGGGGGGCCCGGACTGCTCAGGTCGTCCGGGCCCCACATTCAGTGGGTACATACCGGGTCGCAGGGGGCCCTGCGACCCGGTATGTACCCACAGGGCCAGCCTCTTCTCCTGGGGGGCCCAGCAGCCGGTCACCTCAGGGCCCCCCAGAGGCTGGCCCTGCAGTCACCGGGCGGGCGGCGGCGAGGGAGCACTCGCTGTGTGCTTCCTCTTCAGCTCCCTCGCACTGTACTGATGCGAGCGTCATCTTCAGCTCGGCAGACTGAAGAAGCACAGCTAGCTACGGAGCTAGATAAATAGGAGGAGGAATGGAGAAATGGGATAGATAAATGGGAGGGAGGAATGAATGAAATGGGAGGGGGATGAATGAAATGGGAGGGGGAGAAATGGGAGGATGAATGAAATGGGAGGAGGAATGAATGAATGAAATGGGAGGGAGGAATGAATGAAATGGGAGGAGAGGAGGAATAGATGAAATGGGAGGAGGAATAGATAGAAATGGGAGGAGGAATAGATGATAGGAGGGGAGGAAAGATAAAATAGGAGGAGGAATAGATAAATAGGAGGGAGGAATGAATGAAATGGAGGGAGGAATAGAGAAATGGGAGGAATAGATAGAAATGGGAGGGAATGAATGAGAAATAGGGAGGAATTGAAATGGGAGGGGAATAGATGTGAAATGAAATGGGAGGGGGAATTAAATAGAGAGAAATAGGAGGAGAATGAAATAGGAGGAATGAATGAAATAGGGGGAGGGGGGGAGGAATGAATGAAATGGGAGGGGGGGAGGAATGAATGAAATGGTAGGGGGGGAAGGAATGAACCGGCCCTGCAGACACTGCATCCCTCGGGGGGGGGGCAGCACTTTGGGCGGACTCAGGTGCAGGCACAGGGGGGCCCAGACCTTGAGCTGTGTCAGGGGCCCCAACATTTCTGATGGCAGCCCTGTATGTAATGTTTGTGTTTGCAGGGGTGTGTTTTCATGTTATGTTGGGGTTTGATTGCTAGGATGTATGCACACACACACATTAACACACAAAACGCACTTCACATATACACACACTGAAAGATACAGTGACACTACAAAAAAAAAGTCATTTTTTATATTTGACGTCACCCTCCAGTTTAATACAGCAATCAGTACAGAGTTTGTCTGCCAAGGAAAGGGGGTGAAAATGGCATTATGTTCTATTAACTAATGCTTCCTGATGTGACTTTAGATGAAGAGTCACAGGACTTTAAAGTTGGTTCATCTACAACTAGTATGCAGGAGGATCCACGGGAAGGGCCCTGATCTACCACCAAACAAAAGTAGATGGAACTAAAAAGTAACAGGTTCATTCAGGGAAGGTAAGAAGTGCAACACATGTTCTAATCCTAAACTGACAGCTCCTAATTCGGAGATGTAGATCTGTAATTAACATTACTTGTATTCTCTCTGTACAGATGGAGGGCATCTCCATCCACGCTGCTACAACTGGACTTTCAAGAGTGGAAGAAATAACTTAAAAATGTACTCACCTGGGGCGTTTTCTGATGTGGCAGGATCCATGTTTGTAGTCAACCTGTGAATACAAGATAAAATCAGGGAGTGTGTGCGGGCAGATTTAGGACTTTGGCCTTTCATAATTTAAAACGCTTCATACATTTTAAAAATATTGAAAAAAAAAACTCAAAATATTTAATCATGTGAAAAACTTACCCAAATAACAAAATGACACATACTAATAAATAATGAGATAGGACTGACTGTCCATTTAACAACTTTGTCTGCAAGTAGACTCTCGTTTCTCCCTTAATACATTGGAAGGTGGGACATGCAAGTTTTTTTTTTTTGTTTTTTTTTTTTAGAGGCTCAGCAGCCGCCTCCTGGGCTTTAATAGATTGTAAGAGAGGTAACTTAACATAAGGAGTTCAGGTTCCACACAGTCTAAATTAATAAGGAATTACTGGAGTGTGTTTTCCAGAGTCTAGATAGTACTGTTAATTAGAAATGAAATACCTACATAGACTCCAAAGAGTCTACAACAAGTTTATAAACTCCTATAAAATCGAAATCTAATCAATCACGATTAGAGATGAGCGAACCCCAACATTATGATTTTTTTGACCCCAGACATTTCAGTAACAGTTCGGGATCGGTGATTTAATGGCGCATTTTGAAAAGCTGCAGGGCAGTGATTGGCCAGTGCAGCATGTGACCCAGCCTCTATATAAGATGGAGTCACATGAGCTCTTATTAGTGTAGAGAGAGGATGCTGCAGCTGTGAGGGAAAGATTAGGAAAGAATTCTGGTGTTACATAGCTGGAAAGAGACTTGCGTCCATCAAGTTCAGCCTTCCTCACATTTGTTTTTTGCTGTTGATCCAAAAGAAGGCAAAAAAAAAAAAAACTGTTTGAAGCACAATTTTGCAACAAGCTAGGAAAAAATAAATTCCTTCTTGACCCCAGAATGGCAGTCTGATTTATCCTTGGATCAAGCAGTTATTACCCTACATTGAAAGATTATATCCTTGAATATTCTGTTTTTGCAAGTATGCATCTAGTAGCTGTTTGAACATCTGTACGGACTCTGATAAAACCACTTCTTCAGGCAGAGAATTCCACATCCGTATTGTTCTTACAGTAAAAAAAAAAAAAAAAACCCTTTCCTTTGCCTTAGACAAAATCTTTCTTCTAGTCTAAACGCATGGCCTCGTGTCCTATGTAAAGTCCGGTTTGTGAATAGATTTCCACACAATGGTTTGTATTGGCCCCGAATATATTTGTATAATGTTATCATATCCCCTCTCAGGCGACGTTTTTCTAAACTAAATAAGTTAACAAATTCAAACCTTTCTTCATAGCGGATATGTTCCATTCCTTTTATTAATTTTGTAGCCCACCTCTGCATTTTTTTCTAGTGCCATAATATCCTTCTTTAGAACAGGTGCCCAAAATTGCACAGCATAGTCAATATGTGGTCTTACCAGTGATTTATATAAAGAGGCAAAAATTATATTCACATCCTGAGAATGAATGCCCTTTTTCATGCATGACAATACCTTACTGGCCTTGGCCACTGCGGATTGACATTGCACATTGTTGCATGGTTTGTCTATAACAATTCAAGTCCTTTTCGTGTGTTGTTATCCCTAATTCGCTTCCATTAAGGGTATACGTTGCATGTGTATTCTTTATGTCTAAGTGCATAACTTTGCATTTTTCAACATTAAATTTCATCTGCCATTTGAGTGCCCAGTCCCCCAGTCTATCTAAATCCCTCTGCGGCAAAGTAATAGCTTGCTCACATTTTATTATTTTACAGAGTTGTGTGTCATCTGCAAACACTGAAACATGACTTTCAATGCCATCTTCAAGATCATTTATAAACATGTTAAATAGAAGGGGTCCCAGAACAGACCCCTGAGGGACACCACTTGCCGCCTCTGTCCAGCTTGAAAGTTTACCATTAATGACAACTCTTTGTACTCAAAGAACAAGCATTCTCATCTAGACTGATTTCCTTGAGTTTGAACACCAATCTATTGTGTGGAACTGTATCAAATGCCTTGGCTCTGGTGGCCCTGGTCGTGGTGCTGCTGGAGCTCCTGTTGCAAGGAGAGGACGTGGTCGATCTGTGCCAGCTACACACACGTAAAACACCTTCCTCAGGTGCGAGTAGGCAACAGAACCTTCAGCGTTATTTGGTAGTCCCAAATGCCGCTCTACAAATGGTGAGGCCAGAACAAGTACAGGCAATCGTAGATTGGATGGCTGACAGTGCCTCCAATTCCTTTATATTGTCTTCCACTCGGTACCTTGCTGAAAGCTCAAAGTTGGCACCTGCAGACCATCTGTCTTTCACCTCACCCCCTTGCAAATCAGCCAAGCAGTTTGAGCCACAAGTCATGCAGCATTCTTATGCCTTTTGATGACTCTGCTGGCAGGGGGTTCCATGGGCCGTCCACCTAGCCCTGCCCCAGAAGTGGAAGAGATTGAGTGCACTGATGCACAACTACTTATGTGTCAGGATGTGGACATGTGAGGACCACTGCAGCACATCTGATGACGAAACACAGGTGCCAACTGCTATGGCTTTCTCCGGTGCAGACCAGCAAGGAGGGTAGGGTTGAGGAGAGGGTGGAAGATGATGTGGAGGATGATTAGGTCTTAGAACCCACATGGAATCAAGGTCATGCGAGTTACGTGTCCAGTTTGGAGGAAGAGGTGGTGGTCGCAGAGAGACACTAGCACAGCAGGAGAGGGAGCAGGGTGCAAAAGTGGAGCGGCCGTCCCCTAGACAGTACGCCTGCTACTGCCCACCGCACCCAGGGACCGAACACACCAGAGCCAGCTCCAAGGAGTTCCCTGGCTTGGCAGGTCAGACAATGTGCGGACGACAAGACACTAGTGGCTTGCACGCTGTGCAATCAGAGCCTAAAGCAAAGCATAAACGTGCTAAACCTGAGCACAACCTGCATGACCAGGCATCTACATGCCAAGCACGAGTTGCAGTGGAGTAAGCACCTCAAAAAACAAGAAAGGTTTTAGGCTCCTCCTGCTTCCTCTTCTGCTGCTGTCTCAGCCTCTTCCTCCACCTCTCGAGTGACAGTGGCACCTGCCACCCAGCAAACAGGATGTGGCAGCAACGCCCCCAAGCATCTCCACACTGTCCCATGGAAGCAGTCATCTGTCCATCTCCCAAACACTGGAGAGAAAGAGGAAGTAACTCCCTACCCAACCGCGATCACTGGCCCTGAATGCCAGCATTCCAAAATTCCTGGCCTTTCAAATGCTGTCATTCAGTCTGGTGGAGACAGACAGTTTTAAAAACCTGATGGCGGTGGCTGCCCCACAGTACATGGTTCCCAGCCGCCACCACTTTTCCAGGCGAGCCAGCACAACCAATTGGCGGACAAAATTAGGTGTGCACTGCCCAATGCCATCTGTGGCAAGGTACACATAACCACTGATACGTGGACCAGTAAGCACGTGCAGGGACACTATATCTCCCTAGCTGCACGCTGGGCAAATGTACTGGCAGCTGGGCCTGAGGCGGATAGCAGTTTGGCACATGTCCTTCCGCCGAGGATTGCAGGGCATTTCTTTGCCTCTTCCTCTGCCACCTCCTCATCAGGTCAGCATAACACCTTCACCAACTTCAGCACAGCCAGGGGGAAACTACAGCAGGCGGTTTTAAAACTCATATGTTTGGGGGGGAAACCCCACACCACACAGGAGCTGGACAGGCATGGAACAACAGACCGATGAGTGGTTGTTGCCACTGAGCCTCAAGCCCGGCCTGGTGGTGTGCAATAAAGGGCAAAATCTCGTAGCAGCTATGTGCCTGCTGGTTTGACGCACATCCCTTGCCCGGCGCATATGCTGAATTTGGCGGTGCAGAAATTCCTGAAAAACTACCCAGATATATCAGAGCTGCTGCAGAAAGTGCGGGCTGTCTGTGCGTGCTTTCGGCATTCTCACCCTGCTGCTGCTCGCCTGTCCGTGCTGCAGCGTAACTTCGGCCTTCCCGCTCACCGCCTCATATGCGACATGCACACAAGGTGGAACTCCACCTTGCACATGCTGGAGAGACTGAGCAGCAGCAGGCATTAGTAGAGTTTCAGCTGCAGCACGCATGGGGCAGTTGTTCTGCACCAGACTCGCCCTCCAATTGATCAGAGTTAAAGGATTTAAAGTGTACGGTAGCGGAGCGGCAATATTAAATTCCACGATCTCCGCTGGTAAAGGAAGGTAATCCACAGTCAAGCGCTGAAAAGTAAGGCAATATCCCAAATCCCCCAGTAACCAGATGAAACACAGTTCTGGGAGTCAACTAAGGTTTTTATTCACAGCTCCAGTATTTATGCAAGTCCCCGTGCAAGGGGTTTCCCTACTGACATAGCAGGGGACTACATGGCGGACTTAACATTCTGGGCATTTCTCCCATCAGGCACTGCTGCACGAGAGGGAAACTCCAACTGGAATACACCGTTAAGTGGATTATCCCTCCGTGCAGCAGAACCGGCATTTTACATTTAAATACATAACTTTTATACTATTCGGTTTATTTAAATGAATGGACGTTCGGTAGATAGCTGGGGTCTGAGCGCACAATTCGTGGGAATACCGCTCAGATCCCAGCTAAAACAACCGAACACCGCACGAAATACACTTTGCCATCGCGTTCGCCTAAAAGTACCGAACACCAATGGGGAACCACAATAACGAGAGACCGGAGCTCCCGAACGGCCTGGAAGTCCAGCGCTGTTCGCGCCGTCGAGTAGCCGTTTTCAGTTCCACGCGCTCAACAACCAAACACCGCTGGTGAGACAAAGGATCCAAGATGGCCGACCGCCACGTGGTCAGTAGCCGAACGACGGCCACCTAGGAAAGTCTCTAATTACCGATTGCAACATTGTTGCAATTGGTTAATGAGCGCCACACGACCCTCTATGTGTGGGCTATTAGGGGGTAGCTCATTCGGTTCATGAACAGCCAGTAAGGTTGCTGTTCGTGAAACGAAACATGAATGCTAGCGGCTTTCGGCTGCTAGCATACGAATTCTATGCAAACACACAGTAACACACAGTGTAGATCTAGGTTATACATGAAGTTACAGGGATTAGTGAAGACAGCCTTTTTATGCATATAGTCCAGAGTATTACAAGTGGCTAGGTTTGCCACATGTACTCATTCCAATTACAGGGTCTTGAAAGAGTCCTGTATTGTTATTTTTCGTCACTACCTCCCCGCGTCGGGAGTGGGTAATTTGCGCGCCTGCTGCCTTCCTTGGATGTGGTAGCCGTTTCTCAGGCTCCCTCTCTGGAATTGAACCCCGATTCCCCATGGTCACCATGGTAGGCGCAGAAAGTACCATCGAAAGTTGATAGGGTAGACATTCAAATGCTTTGTTGCCGTCACGGGGACGTGCGATCGGCCCAAGGTTATCTAGAGTCACCAAAGTGCCTGCGCAACGACTGTCGAGTTGCCCACATTCCAACATGTGCTGATTACTGGGTGGCCACCCTGCTGGATCCCCATTACAAGGACAACGTGCCGTCCTTAATTCCCTCACTGGAGCGTGATCGGAAGATGCGCGACTACAAGCGCATGCTGGTAGACGCGCTGCTGAGGGCATTCCCAACTGACAGCGGAGGCTCAGTGGAAACACAAGGAGAAGGAAGAGGTCGCCAACACAGCTGGGGCACCTCCAGCACCTCAGAAGGCAGGGTTAGCATGGCCTAAATGTGGAAAAGTTTTGTTAGCACGCCACAACAACCAGCACCACCATCTGATATGGAACGTCTTAGCAGGAGGCAGCATTTCAGCAACATGCTGGAACAGTACGTGTGCATACGCCTACGCGTACTGACTGATGGGTCTGTCCCATTCAACTTCTGGGTCTCCAAATTGGGCACATGCCCTGAGCTTGCCCTTTATGCCTTGGAGGTGCTGGCTTGCCCTGTAGCCAGTGTATTGTCTGAAGGAGTGTTTAGCACGGCAGGGGGCGTTATCACAGACAAGCGCAGCCGCTTGTCCACAGCCAACGTGGACAAGCTCACGTTTTTTTTAAAATGAACCAGGCATGGATCCCACCAGACTTGTCTGTACCTTGTGCAGAATAGAAATTTATACCAGCCTCACCCAGCCATTGTTATACTCAAGAGCACTTATTCTTTGTTTTCTTTTTTTATATGTCCCAATATTTTGGTGGCTACCCCAATTAAAATTTTTATGTTATTTTAAGTGATTTCCCTATCCACATTTGTTTGCAGGGCACTTGTCCTACTCTTACCCCATTTTACTTCCTTTTGCAGCCCTCTAGCCCTTTCCAGGACTTTTTTTAGAGTCATTTTAGTGCCCAAAAGTTCAAGTCCCTATTGACTTCAGTGGGGTTCGGGGTCAAGTTTGAGTCTGAACTCGAACTTTTTGCAGAAGTTCGGCCAAACTCGAACATCCAGGTGTCCGCTCATCTCTAATCACTATCTTTGTTAAAATATCAAACTTCCATTTAAAAAAAAAAAAATAACTAACTAACGTCCATGTTATATATTCTCTTTTGATCAACAACCTGCTCATATATTATATGTAAATATTCTGTTTTTTAAAATATCTTTAAAAAAATATAAGACAACTCCTTTAGACAGAATTATACATCTTTTTTGTTTTTACTGTAAAGAATCCTTTCCTCTGCAGTAGGTGAAAACGCCTTTCTTCCAGTCTCAATGGGTGAGCTCTTGTCTGGTGTCTATTCCAGCTAATGGACAGGTTAGAACACAAACTAGGTTTCCAGTCTTAAGGGGATTCCATACGCTTTATTTTGCAATATCCTTTACAACACATGTATAAGAAGCAAGTTATATTTGGATAACATTAATCAACATATCTTAATACATGAAATCCCCTACTTTGCTATAGCAAAGGGTAGTTTTATACTGTTAGTTGCCCAATTTGTTATCTTAATTGTTTTGAAGTCCTTTTCATTTACAGTTACCCCTACCTCAAAGTCATTTCATATACAAGTTGTTTGTGGGAATTTAATCTGATCTTTTACTTGCCTGTCCAGTCTCCCAAGGAGGGAAAAAAACCAAAGTAGAACAAAAAAAACAAAAAAAAAAGTGCATGTTGTCTGACAGTTTTGTGAACAGAACACACTGCATTGGAGATTTTCAACACTCCGTTGTTTACATTTGCAAAAGTGGTCATCTCTGTACATAAACATTACATCTTCTACATATCAATAAAATAGAAATATGAACTCTGGAAGACAGGGCATCAGCAGCCATTCCTGTGATTCGGATCTGTCATTTGTCAGGTGATTGATGACATTCCTAGAGAGAGCATCAAATGCTTAACAAGTTAAGTCAGAGGCCAGTAGAACAAGTTGAAACTTATAGCAGAGAGTCATTAACTCTTAACATGTTTAATCAGTGTAATCGCTGGAAGGTGTCAAGGTTATGGTCTCATTAAAACACAGCCTTTATATACTTATGCACACTCAAAAGTCAGAGCAAGTTACTAGAATCCGTCACAATTCAGCATACTTGAATACTCTTAATAAAAAATACAATTTTCCCAAGACATTTAGTTGGATGGTCCTGTAGTCATCTTCATGTAATCAGCACATAGATTATTATAGACTAGGCAGGATACTATAATGTCAGCGTTTTATAGAAAAGGCTTTTTTTTGCAGGTTTTACGTTATACGAACTGCTAACAGCGGAGACCTGTGGTCGTATTCAGTAAAGTGAAAATGGAAAGTTTTAGGCAGCAAACTTGGAAAATGGTCCAGGTATGAGCAGATTGGCCAGTTTATCTATTCTAGATTTGTCTATTTTTGCCCAAAATTAGCAAATATATTGACGGTTCCTATTTTGCCAAATAAAACTCCTGATGACAAGTATGAAGGATGACGATGGTTTAGTACCAATGAAAATGCAGGGCATGCATGGTTTTCTTGCATTTGTTGGCATCAAAACAAACAAAATATTGAGCTAACAGTTTATTTACAGTTCTATGCAAGAGAAGAGCCATTTCATCACAGGATATAGCATGGAATCTGGACCTCTAGAGAAACACTATTACATTCAGATGTTTTTCCACCTTTTTCCCTTCCTGTTCCCTCAGGTGAGGCTGCCTCATGGTCTAAGTACGAAAAGCCATATTGCTCAACATGTCAAATGGACAAAGAGGGACATGTTTGGGTGTGGCAGAGATGGGGCTGTTCTAATAACAAGTACTTAATATTAACAATTTATAACTAAAATATAATGTGGAAGAAGAACAATGTATCTAATTTAGACAGCCTATAGGGGTGTGCAGCTACACACATACACACTGTGTGTGCTGTTGGTGTACTGTGTGTGAAGGTGCTAATCGGTTTGGAGGAATGGAGTGTGGGGGTAGGGAGACAGATTAGGAAATAGCCCCCCTCCTGTCTTACCTTTTGCCTGAGGGGAGGGTGGGGAGAATCATTGCTGCCATCCCTAACGGTCCTAGTGTGAGTGAACCCTTGGCAATTCTCCGGCCTCGCAATAAAGGAAACCCCTGGAACTGCTGGCAAGAACTCCCCAGGTCGTCTCCTCCCTCCCTGTGGGCTGGTGAGGGCGGTCTTTGATTTCCCTCACCAGCCCATGGAGACACACTGTGCGGGCAACGAGGTGTGCCCACGTCTGACACAGCCTGATTTCTAAACACATTTATCGTTGTTTAAAGAAACATTAGGATAGAAGAGAGAAACTGATGGATTTGGGCCAAAAAGTATGCACCATTCCTCCTAAATAGGATCAATTAGATAAAACTACAGCCATAATCACCACTTGGACCATATCTAGCAAGATAACTTTGACCACAATGAGTGACAGTTCATTGTTGATGATCATGCCATGACCTAGCAGCCAGGCAATGTTCTTGTTCTATAAGTCATGTGAAGAAAAGTAATAAACTGCAAGCACACATAATATTACATAGAAGAGTGCAAAGTGCATACATGTAGAAAATGAACCATGCACACAAACCCAGGCACTGAAATGCTCACTGCAAATCCAAAATATGAAGAAACCCTAGGGCATAACTAACCCAGACCTGGAGACTCATAAACACCCCAACGTTTCTGCATCCAGCCTTCTGTCACATCTGTAGAGCTAGCTAGATTTTGTATGTATAGAATGTTCTATTCAATCGCGAACCAAAAAAAACACAACACTACCCCCAAGATCTTTCGTTTTTACACAAAGCCTAAATGAGGACAGGTTCAGGTGAGTGGGAGGATTTGAGACATAAATCATGTGTTATTTAAGATCTCCAGAGTGAGATACATTTGAATACTACAGAAGATTTGTCCTCACCCAGTCCTCAAGGAAAAACAAACAGTAATTTTATTTCCAAAAAAACAATTAAATAAAAATATTTGTTTAGTTTGAAAACCAAACAATTAACACTGAATCAAAATTATAAATTAAGAACAAACAAAGTCCACAAAAGTTGGAGTGATATTAAAGTTATAATATACACACACACTCTATAACAATATTATATTTTGGGGGCTAACAAATTCTGCTTTGTAGTCACGTGAGATGTGCAGAGGACACGAATAGACTGAACGGTATCATTACCAGAGCAACAGAATTAATATAATAAGTGTGACAGCATGATATATCCCATTCAAAGACACAGGAAGTTATACATTGCACTAATTAAGTTGCAAGTTGCATTTTACAGAATGGAAACAAAAATGCTAACTATAAACATAAAGAAAGAAATAAATGTATATATAGGTTGCGAATTGACAGCAGTGACACCAAAATACCAATCCATTCACATTTCAATCTCTCACCCAGCCGTCTCTAATCATTGTATTTATTCCCATTGCCCCTTTTCATCCTAAGCGCAGGATCACTTACCTGTACAGCAGCACAGCTTCTTTCCTGATATTACTTTTGACCTGACAATTCCAGCTCTGATCTGAGGCTTGGTTTATATCAGCCCCAAAGGCAGCTTGTTGGGTGTGTCCGAGTCCCTAACCCTGCCCTGAAGACCATACACAGTTCTCCTGCCAAAAAAAATGGTTTATATATATACACCCCCCTTTAATGTTAGTGGAGTTCATACTGCACCTGCTTTTAACCCATTGATATCTGCTCTAAAAAGGGATAGCTCACATAACCAAAATGAAGTTGTTATGGTGCCCAGAGTGTTCCTTTAATACCAGACACTGCATACAGACACGATTCAATGTAACGTTTGTTTTGTTAGGTGCAGTATATCATGTCTGTGGTATGTCACTGTAATTAGTATTCATTAACAAGCTGTTTATCCATTAACAAGCTGTTTATCCATTTACACTTTTGGTGTAATATCTGTATCTTAATGTCCGGGTGGATTCCCAGATTCACGAAATTACAAATCTTAGTGTAAAATTCACCATACTGGAATAATTCTCAACTGCAGCTACTTTTTCCACCGCACAGACTTCGACCCAAAACTTGCAATTTAATTCTCACTTTTCCATAATTCCCATTTTAGAGAAAAATAATACTTTAAAACAAAAAATTTAGTTTGAAAATCCTTAATTTGTTCATTGAAGTCTGCATTTTATGCAATACATCAATTCACGATGATTCCCGATTTAGTTAATACGATCCATCAGTGAGCTTGCTGTGAAATTGAGAGCATTTATTTCCCTAGGGCAGTTCAAATTGGGGAATATAGATGAACAATGCGCACAGACAAGTCCTAATCGCAGGTAACGCTGCCTCAGCTAATAATACTGTAATCAGATTGAACACAGCTAAAACCATATCCACTTAACAGCAAACTGAGGGAATTAAATATTTAATTGCAAAATTGAGGCTTAGATTGCCTGGACGTCACTAGGACGAGTTGTAGAGATGTCTTTATTTTTCAAATTATTTTTTTATTTCAATTATTTTTTTGATTCAATAGAATTCTCTTGTTATTATATAAATCTTTCAGTGCTGTATTGGAAAGGACTAAGTCTTTAGCGGAGAATCTTAACTCTCTGAGTGGCAGATTGTTAAACAAATCATTAGAAGGAAGGGTTAATATATATTTGGTGGAATGCGTGAACACATTGTGGGTTTATGAGTTTATACACAGTTCCTTTGATCCCAGGCAGCTCTTTATATTGTTGGTATGGTGAGACCAGTCTCTGTATTTACTCTGGCTCTACGGACCAGCTCCCAGGGAAGAGACAGAGCTACAATGTCACAACCATGTCTCACTCCCTTCAGACTTTGGGAGGCGATGAACTTGGAGGAGGGTGCGGCTGAGGGAGATGTATTTTTGCAGATGTGGGAAGCATGTATTGGGGTACAATGGGAGTTATCTATAAAAAGTGTTGCAGCTGTTTTCAAGCCAATGTTTGTTGCATTTTCTGTTTGCACCAATACACATAATTTTTCCCCTCAACAGTTTTGTCCTCTGCTCAGGGGACTGATCTCTCGTGTAGCAGGAAACCAGACACCCCGCACTGTGCTTCCACCTCGCGATCCGGTCACTATCTCTGGAGGTGCTCTGTGCATAAACGGACACCACAAATCCAAACAGGAACAGAAGAACAGGCTATACAAAAAAAAAAAAACAGCTGAAAATAGATGTTTAAGGGATGCAAGGTGTATTTCTGTGTATGTGAGGGATGCAGGGTGTGTCTGTAAGGGGTGCATTGAGTGTGTGTAAGAGATGCATTGTGTTTGTGTGTGTTTGTGTGTGTAACAGATGCATTGTTTGTTTCTATGTGCAAGGGAAGCATGGTGTGTTTATGTGTGTGTATGTGTGTGTAGGGATGCATTGTCTGTTTCTGTCAGTGTGTGTAGGGATGCATTGTGTGTTTCTGTGTGTATTTGTAGGGATGTATTGGGTGTTTCTGTGTGTGTGTGTGTTTTTGTGTATGTGTAGGGATGCATTGTGTATGTGTGTTTGTTATGTAAAAGAGAGAGTTTATGGGGCAGTCTTGCCGGGGCTGAGAGGGGAGCATCTCTTTATTTTTATTATTCTAATTATTTTGTTAATATAATTTAATTTTTTTTTTAATTTTTGTGTTTTACATCCCCTCTAGTGTATCTCTTAAAGGCCCCTTGAGTGTCTCTTATCCCCCCTCTTTGTATGTCTCCTACACCCTCCCAACCACTTTGCATGTCTTACTCCCCCCAGCCCCGTTGTGTCTTTTACTCTTCCCAGCTCTGTTGTGTGTGTCTCTTTCACCCTCAAGCCCCTCTGTGTGTATTTTCCTTCCTAGGCCCCTTTGTGTGTCTCCCTCTGTGTGTCTCTTTCTCCCCTACCAACCCCTTTGCGCTTCTCTTTCACCCCTTCCTCAGTCTCTCTGTGTGTCTCTTCCACTCCCCCTGTCCCCTAATTATCTCTTTCATTCCCCCCCAGTCCCTTAGTGGTCTCCTCTCATCCCCCTGTCCCTTAGTGGTCTCCTCTTCTCACCTGTCCCTCCTCTCCCTTAGAGTTCTCCCCTCTTGTTGCGTAGTACTCTCCCCTCCCCTCCTATCCCTTTGAGTTTTCCCCTCCTGTCCCTTATTGCTCTCCCCTGCCCCTTAGTGATCTCCCCTGCCCATTAGTGCTCTCCTCTGCCCCACTGTTACTTAGTGATCTCCCTGCCCTACTGTCCCTTAGTGCTCTCCCCTGCCCCGTCCTTTGGTGCTCTCATCTCAGGTCCTTTAGTGCCTTCTGTCCCTCAGAGCTCTTCCTTCCCCTCCTGTCCCTTAAAGCTCTCCCTATCCCTTGACCCTTACTGGTCTCCCCTCTTCCCCCCTGCCCCTTAGTGCTCTCTCCTCTTCCCCCATGCCCCTTAGTGCTCTCCCATCTTGCCTCCCCCAACCCTTAGTTGTCTCTCCTCTCACCCATCCCTTGGTGGTTCCCCCCATCCCTTAATGGTTTCTCCTCTCTTCCCTCCCTGTCTCTTAGTGCTCTCTCCTCTCCCTCCCCTTGTCCCTTAGTGGTCGTCTCCCCCAACACCTCTCCATAATAGTCCTCACACCCCCCTCCCCTCCTTGGTGCTACTCCTTCCCTCCCCTTCTTGTTGGTACCCCCCTCCTTAGTGTTCTTTTCCCCTCCCTGGTGTGCATCCTACCTCCCTGTGTAGCGTGGCCGAGCGGAGCAGACCTCAGTACAGGAGCTTCTGTTTTCTGTACATGGCCTGTCTGAGAGGAAGTGCTCTCTTCCTGTCTTCCTGTCAGTTTGGCCGGGTACAGGAAACAGAAGCTCCTGTACTGAGGTCTGCCCGGCTCGGCAATGCTACACTGAGGTACTGGTAGGAGAGAACTCTGTGTGCTTACCTCCTGCCGTTCACTGTAATATTGAACCCACAGAGACAGTGTGCCCTAAGGCTGAGCATGTATGACTTTATGGATGTAAAGGCCCTGGCTGAAAAGTGCACTTGCCGGGACTGTTTCCTGCAAAAACAGGACTGTTGGCAAGTATGCTTACCCTTTAATAGATGGTGTTACCACTTGCATTTTGAAGTGCTGCCTCTTTTTCTTTTTTCTTGACCTCTCGGGTAGATCAGTCATCGATCTAGGGCCAGGGGCAGTCAGGGCTCCGGCTGAACAGCCATGCTTTGGCCGAGTAACTAGGAAGATAAAATTCCAATCATATAATCCATCCATAGATTGGGGCCCTGCAACCTATAGAACTGTAAGAGACTCCCTTCTTCTCAGTGAGACCTGGCACTCGTAAACCAAAGATCAGGGGTTCAATCCCCATCTGTGCCTAAGTAAGTTGGAAAAGATTTGTCTATTGTAATTAATTCAACAGCGCCTCAATTATTCATACTTTATACAAAATCGAAGAGTTCTTCACAGGTCTATTAACTGAAAGTTTTCCGTCCAACAAACTAAAATGGGAAAAGATTACTTAATCACAGGCTGAAAATTTAAACTAAGTGACACTATGACAAAGTTGTATTGAAATTCACATTATAACACAGTAAAGGAGTTTAAGCATGCATGGGATAGGCATAAGGCTATCCTAACTATAAGATAAGGCCAGGGACTAATGAAAGTATTTAGAAAATTGGGCAGACTAGATGGGCCGAATGGTTCTTATCTGCCGTCACATTCTATGTTTCTATGTCTTGTGAATGGGAAGTGACATCACTTCCTGCTCTCTGTGCCAGGTCTACTCCATGCTCTACAAAGGATAAAATAAAAAAGGGCTGTGCTAAGTAAATAAACTGTAAAAATAGCAATAATAAATACAGTATAAATGGAGTCCAACCACATATCCTTTAAAGTGGGGACTCTTCAAGTCGGTGCTCTGGAGTTTGTGAGTGGGAAACTTTTTATATATTTTATATATTCTTCTATACTACACGTATTGGTGTTTCTTTTCTTGTCCTATATATATTGGATACTAACTGGCACTATACTACGTGAGTCTGTAAAGAAAGACGCCCACTACCAAATACGAGGACAGAGATTGGATTTATTTAAACCTTCCTCTATATGATATGCAAATGACCATACGATCTTTTCTATACTTATCTGTATATATATATATTGAGTTTTTAGCCTGCACATCTACAGAAGATGCTTTGTATATTTATTTATTCATGCATGTTTTATATTGAGATTTTTTTTTTCCTTATTAAGGTGTGGCTGTCCACCATATTTTTTGTGCTTCTCTAAACCAAAGGCTGAAACTTCACTTTGTTGCAAATGTTCACAAGTTGCAGCTTCTTATCTTCTTACACCAGAAAATAGTTGAACTTCCTGAGCTAGTCCAGGTTCTCTCATGTTTTTATATGAGACATTACTGAACATGTCAAGCTAGAACTTATGGGTTATATAGTTCCGCACTCTGCAGTAATTTCATTTATGTAGAAACGTGAAGCTGCTGTGCAGGATAATGAAGGCCAGATGATGTCTACTCCCATCTCCTTACTGATAGCTTCCTTCACATTTGTGATTGGAAGAAAGTCTCACTTATAAATCTATGATTGAGCCTGTAGGAGGAGGTGCTCACATTTGTTCCTGCTGAGCCGTAATATTAGTAAATGGAAAATATTCTGCTCCTTTCTTCAG